TCAGGTCTGTCGTATGACCGTTGACGTAACACCAGCGGCAAAAGGACCTCAGTATTTCGGCGCATGCATGTTCGCAAGCATCATGTCTTCGCAGTTCCGCAGCCTTACTTGCTTGATTTGTCCTTGCTGTGTGTTCATTTGCCATGCAGTTGTCAGCCGAGTTTGTGAATAACCTGGTGGCGGTACTCAATGTCCTTGCATCCCAAGTTGCGACAGCTCTGGACACCCTGAACTTTGCCCTGATGACCGAGCGAAGCCATCCGTCAGACACTAGAGTGTCTCCCAGGGCACCACGGAACTCCAGGCACGGGCTGCGCCCTCGCATCATCACAGAGCGCATTTCGTCTGACCGATCCCGCTCTCCCACTCGAATTCGAACCCGACCTTTGGACACTTCATCCACCTGGTATATACCGGCCTTATCCCCGCCTCGTGCGGCACATCGGGATGCCGCTGACAACAATTCTGGTCGTCGGCCTGAATCGATGTTGGATCACCTGCCACCACCTCGGCCGCTTGCTCCCTTAGCCCCACACGGCGGACGAGAACCAGGACAGATGACGCCTACGACACCTGACTCGGATTCTGATGGCTCAGTGCGTCCACATCCAGGTGCCTCGTCGTTCCGACCGTCTCCTACGGTGGTTCATGGACCTCGGGAACTTCTACAAGAATTCACCATTGCACTTCGCAATGCACACCGTGAACCTTTCACGGCATGGACACAGGGTGAGCTGGATGAGATGGTGCGACGGAAGAAAGACAAGGATTCCAGGCCCACCTACAAAACCATTGCTCGGTTCCTTCAGAAGCCCATTGAGGAAGTCAAGCAGGCATGGAAGGTCTATCAGCAACTTGAGGCTCGCGGCTAGGAACCCGGTCATCAAATGCAATAGCGACCACAGGAGGACTAAATGGTAGGCCGTGGCGGTGCATTCGGCTAACGCTGCAGGTTGTGGCGACGGTTGGGATTGCAGTCATTATGGATCACATGAAATTTGCTTGCTTGCACTTAGCTGGCATTTTACCAGGGTAATATTGCTTGCCGTTGTGGGTGTTGCCGCTGACGTGAATTGAATGCATGACTGAGTTGCTCAAATCATGTCGGAACAAGTCGTACAGACGTACATTACTTGGACCCATGGAGCGCAGCCGACGTGGTTACAGTTTCACGGACCTGGAGCCCTGCTTGACAGACCCATTCGGCAGACTACGTCACCTCCGCCCCCACCAAGTTTCCCACTGCTTCTTCCACCTCCGCCTCCTCCACCGCCACCACCACCGGTGATTCTACACCCACAGTTTATGCCCTCAGTACGGAGCCCCTCGATCTCAGCTCCTCGCGGACAATCCTGCCCTGCCACATCGAAATCGCAGCGCACACGCCGCTCGATCTACAGCACTGACCATTCCCGTGATGAAGAGCTACGCAGTCCAGGGCGTTCCTCCAAACGATCTCGGACAGCATCCGCTTCTGCACCGCGGAGATCTCGGCGGCCCTTTACCGTGTTCCCCTCCAAACGTGCTGGCCGTCCATCCCTGTCCCCATCGGCAAATTGCAAGCATTACTGTCATGCCTTCCTGCGCCATGGGCGGAAATGTCTTTCCCCTTGTGATCGTAGACGACCAGGACATTATCATTGCAGGTGTGCGCGGCATCAACGGCGGTGAAGCTTAGGCGTCGTAAATTACACACCTCGCTGATGTGTTTCACCTTGAGTTTGAAAAGTTGCCTTGCATCCCTTCAGCTGCGCGCGGTTGTCATTGCATGTGTGTCTTTGCCGCAGAATTTCGATTGCTTTTAGCGGCCGCGCGATAGCCTGTCTTGCCGCTATGAACCCTCAATATATCGAGTACCAGATCGACAGAGGAGTGGAATGGATTCGAATTTACTCACCGGGCACGTGGCGACCCGTTCCCGATGATGCTCCAGTGCTCGACCCGGTCTACGCTTCCACGTATCGGGAGTGGCGCAGGTCATATCGTTTCCAAGTGTGCTGGTCAGAAGACAGCACCGGAGGAACAACAGTGGACCCCGTCATCACGCCCAGTTCGTATGTGTCCTACCACGTCTGGGAGTACCGCGACTGGCAAACACGAGGGTATCAACGTCTTGGAGCTCCTGTGACAGCCATTGGATTTGCGACGCTCGTGAATGCGGACGCCAATTCCTCGGTGGACTCATCTGTTCCGGATGGGGCGTGGCGGGAACCTTCACCGCCACCATTCTATGACCCTTGGAATGATTCGGAGTGATACTTTGGCAGCATGTCGGATAAAATGACGCGGTTGTTCCTGCGTTGAGTGTGATTCCATGTTGGGTTGTCTTGCTTTGTGTTGTGCGTTCCGTTTCCATGTGTTCGCCACTTTCCTTTATGACTTCAAGCGGCTTGCCTGGTTGATATGTTCAATTCTACAATGTATGGCGCTGCAAGATGGGTCCTGCCACACTACTTTGACTATGACATCGTCAATGGACCCGCGAACACAGAGGTTGAGTGGATTCGGATCTATGTACCGGGTCCGTGGCATCCAGTCGCCGAAAACACCTTGGGGCCAGCCCCGGAGGACTCAAACACCTATCGGGAGTGGCGCAAAGTATACCACTTCGAAGTGTATTGGCCAAGGGAGAGCACGGGCGGCACCAATATGGGTGCTGTTGCTCAGCCGGTCTCTTATGCATCCTTCTACACTTGGCATTATCGGGACTGGGTCACCAGGGGATATCAACGGCTGGGTCGTCCACACCCTAGCATTGCGCGTCCAGTTTTCGCTTCGGGTTCACCGGACCTCATGTACGCTGGGCTGACCTCTTCGTCAGCATCTTCAAACTCAGATGGTGGCTGATGCTCGTCCTCGTCTTCCTGGGCAGACTATTCAATTCAATTCGATTCAGGAGATGGACTTCAACAACTGAGCCGTGCATTGCTGCAAAAGTGATTGCTTGCGTGGTTGTTGTTGTGTCTCTTGCAGTGGTTGTTGTCCGCAGCCGTACACCTATCAATTTGTCTTCCCGGGTTTGAAGTGTCATGCCGTGGCTGGAATGGTGTCCGGATCCTCAACAACCAGATGCCCAGTGGGTCAAGATCTTTCATCCGGGATCATGGACTCCACATGAAGAACATGATGCTCCACCTCCACCGCACACGTATGGAGAGTGGAGGGAGTTCTATGCTCCCAACCCGGAACAAGACGGTGAGCAGCGCAATGTCACCATGTGGTACAAAAGAGACTGGGCCACAGAGGGCTATCGGAGAGTCGCTGCCCCTCAAGCTGGTCATGACTTTGATTCTATGTCTTTTCCTGATCATCACAGCGTGGCCACGCAATCCGCGGCATTGAGTATGTCACCGCAGATGTTAGAAGCGATCCTTAGATCCTCGGATGCGGCGGATTTCTCTACCGAAGAACTGACTCGTCTCCAAGAGGGGATTTCTCAACAACTGACAGCTCGCGCACGTCAAGCTTCCCAACTTCATCAACCTGTACGTGCATCACGTGGAATCACACCATCGGAGACGGTTGGGGTCTCCGAACCATACCGGCCTGTTAATCCTTCCGACAGCTGCAAAGCCAAGGCGAGACCTATCTTCGAGCTAAATGAGGACTAGACGCACGCGAGTGGGGTAGCGTACAAAATAAGGGTGGTTTTCACACTTGCATTACCTTGCTTGGTTGTTGCTTGTACATGGTTGTGCATGGTGCCTGTTCCTCTATCAGCTGGATCGGAGCCCGCGATACGCCTTGCCTCTTACTTCGACATGGACATCGAGGATTCGAAGCAGCACCCATGGCTCGAATACTCGGTCTGGCAGGATCAGGAGTGGGTGCGGATCTACACTGCAGGACAGCCTCAGCGATGGCACCACGGAGAAACTGTACCTGATCTACCAGACAATTCTTTTCGGGAATGGCAGCGGGTGACTGATCCCAATGGGCGCACTGGTGAGCACGGTCAGTCATGGACCATCCGCGACTGGCAGCATCAGGGATACCAGCGCATTCTGTCTCGAATGGAGTCCTTCGCAACGCATCATTCGCATGATCAATCTCTTGGTGAAGTTCGGAATTCCGATGCCATTCCAGTTGAGGAGACGTTCACCTATGCAACTCCGTTTTCTCATGGTGATCGCTCGACTGCTTCACAACTCGCTTCAGTCCTCTATGGCGACACTCGTAATGCTCAACGTGGTGATCTCTCGTTCCCGTCTTCTGAGCGGTTTAGGGCTGTTTCTCGTTCCCCTCGCCGCGGTGGATTTTTTGGTCAACGATAGGGACACGGGGTTGAGCATGTGATCTTCCTGCGGAAAAGGAGACTCCTCGCCCCTCATTGAGGGGCGTGTGTGTGCGGAGTGACAGAATGCCCTGTCACCACCCTTTCGGTTTCTCAGCAGGGGGCGTGGCAGCCATCTTCCTAGCCACGCCAACGAAGCTATGGAAGTTTGGCCGGAAGCGTTGAGGGACGCCTCAATGCGTACCTGCAAGTGATTCTGAATGTCTATTTGGCCCCTTGGTTGCGGCGCTGTTTGTGCTTCTTGTTCTTTCGGGTAACGCTTTCGTTTCTAAAGTGAAGCCAAGTGACTTGCAAGCAGAACTCAGCCGAGACTCATCAGTTGTACTCGAGACTCATCAGTTGTACTCGAAAGATTAGCACTCTCCATTTGGAGTTTAAGTGTGGGGTGGGGGGTGGGGGGTGGGGGCGATTTGGGGTTTGGGAAAATCACTCTGTTAAGACATCCGGTTTCGGGACCCCCAGATGTTGTGCAAACCCCAGTTACAGACGATTCTACGTTTCCAGGAACCTTACTTTCATGGGAGGGATGTTGATGGCCTCATTCTCCCACGAAGTTCGGAAGGCAAAATGGAACAAATATGTTCCCTTTGCGTGTCTCTTATTCATCCAATTTATTCTGATCAACGCTATATATAGGACACCTCAGCCTGATTTCCTGTTTCGGACTTCGTGTGGTTTCGCCAGTCTCGCGCGGGACGTGCGCCAGGATCGGCTAAAGCTGACGCGCCTGTGGCCCCACACCCAGGTTGTTTGGCTGGTGTTTAAGGGACTTTGGTGGGGGTAACCGAGTGGGACGCGACAATTGGTTGCAAGTTTCTGTCTTTGGGCAGCTTGGGGCAGTGCGGCTTGACAGACACACCGCTTGGTTCCAACTTCAGAACCATAGTTTTCCCTTTGAGGCCATGTTGGCGCATGTCTCAAGCTGGACAGCTGTCGGGAACAAGTGAACCCTCGATTAAACGGCCCCCCAGCTTGCACAAAAGGGTTCGCAGTATCCCGGAGATCTCCAGGAAAGGCGTTTCCAGCAAGGCCGTGATGGGGGTCAACAAAGGGAAACACACAAATATCGTGTGACCTTGCGACTGGGGGCAGCGTGGAATGCTGTCCTTGTGCACAATCCTGCAGCTCTTTTTTTTTTTGCAGCGCAGTGAGCCCCCTTAGCAGCATCCGGGGAAGGGGGGAGATCATGCCGGCCCAAAGCATCCCGGCATCCCAAATCGACCTCAAAAGCCGGTGGATTTGGGCTCCGGTAGGTTGGCAGAAAAAGGACCGTCCCCAACTCAATTGACCTCAGCAGATCAGAGTTTCGCTCGGCAGATCAGAAGATGCGCCTATTTGTTTTTGAAGGTTCCCTGGTCACCTGTACTGATAAATCAAAACCAGCTTGCATAGCAGTATGGGTGTTTTGCTCTCAGGGTACCCCCTTTTCGGGTGGTTTTCAAAGGAAAGCACAAGAACACTCACCATGGTTGGCGTCCCGTCCATGGCCCGAAAGCGAGTTCTCTGAGAAGTTTGGGCAGAGTGGAGTGAGCTCAAACCGCTGTTGTTAGAGGGCCCTGGGGTTCGAGAGGGGCTCAAACCCAGAGGCTTCAAATGGTGCGCCCCTCATTCCAGTTGTGTGTTGTGGGCTGAGAGTGGCAACGGGGCCAAACTATGGCCGATGAAGGGGTCCAACGCCCAAACTCCAGAGATATAGCGAAAGAGTTTCCCCTCTGGCGGGAAGCCCAGAGACAGAATCTTGTGGCACTCAACGTCAAGAGAAAACCGCGGGAGGGAACTCAGGATGACTCAGCCTCTATTGATTGCCAAGGGGGGGGCCCATGTCAGAGGGGATCCGGACTCGGGGAGTTGATATTCGAGGCAGAGGAGCCCAAAGTGCCAGAAGCAGTGCCGCCACTTGGCGAGCGGATGGTTCTCGGAACGGGGGGGTTGAAATGGGGGGGGCATGCCAAGCTTCACTGTTCCTGGCTTGGTTGTTGTTGGGAAACATTTTACATTTTTGCTTATTGAGGTTTAGTGGTTGAAATCCAGCCACTTAACTGCTAAAATTTGAGAATGTTTGCTTCCCTAACCCAACGTCAACCAAGCTGGCATGTGTGTTTAGGAGAGACAAAAGTGGAGCCCAAATTTGCGCGCCCTTTGCGAAGCCTCACAGGTTGGGGTTTGGAGGCTTTCGGCTTCTCGTCGGCTTTGAGTGCGTGTGTTGGTTTTTGTGGCTTGTGGCTTGTGGGTTTTGGTTTTCCCTTGAAATGAGTTTTCCCCTAGGTTTCCCCCTTCGTTATGAGCGGGGGTGTGTTTGCTTCAGGCCCAGGGCGAGGAAGAAGGGGGAAACGCCGATGGGAAGTGACCTGCTTTGCTAGCACAGAAAGGGATTTTACTCTTCCGCACCCAGGAACAAGTTCATTCAGCATGACCCCCTTTGTTACACAGCCCAAAAAAAGTCAGTTGACCAAGTTTCAGTTCACCATTGTTGGTGTCCAAGGTAAACTCTCTTCTCCGACAAAAACGTTTTGTTGGTATCTTTCTGAAACGCCAGGAGTTGGTTTGGGTACATAATTCAACGGTCACCTTTGGGGCTCATTGGAAGCCTCAAGCTCAATGAGACCATTTTCTAAAAGCGGGACGGGGAACCAGGAAGCCGTTTTTTTTTGTTTTCCTCTAAGAGAGTCAGGATTCATATGTCTCCATTCACCAAAAACATCGATGGCCCTGGAGGATTCATAGGTCTCCACAACAGTGTTCTTTGTTTTTTGAACAAAAAACATCGACAAAAAAACAGACATGGATGACCCTGGTCCACTGGTTGACAACTCGTTTCATCCACCATCTATTGTCGTTCCCAAACGGACACCACACGATTTTTCTGGGAACTTTGGCCGTGGCCGTGTGGCCGTGAAACGGAGTTTCGACCACGGATGATGAACCTCAAGAACCTCTTTCTCACCTGTAATGTTGACCCTGGATTATCAACCTTGTGGAGTATTACGGTGTCGCTTCCTCCCCAAAAATAAATAAATAAATAGATGAATACAAAGTAAAGCTTTGTCTCTCCCACAGGACACACCCTATGAATCAACCAGGGTCTTATTCATCATGGATTACATGAGCGTTTTGAGCAACCCTTTATATTGGCAGCCTGATTTGTTGATGGATTGGTATCCTGAACAGAGATGTCCGCCCATGAGACGACCGGCAGGCAGCCCACAATGATACTGTTCTAGCTGTACCTCCCCATTCTCTCCAAGGATACTTGCTTCTTTGCAGACAACTCCCCAAAGCCACACACATTATGCCTGGTTCCTGATACGAACAAGACATGAAGGGAATGGAAAAGGAATCAGCTCTCAGAACTATAGTTGGATGAGACTAGGCTGGCACAGTTCCCTCATTGTGGATTAGTCATCCCTTGTACTGTTCCAAATAAAAGGGAATTGTGCCACTAAATTTCACCCGAGTCTACACCAATCAACATGGGTTGACACGGTGACCTTGGAAAGCTGGACTGTGCATGTACATGACTCCTGAACGACCTGTCCAGGATATGCAGAGCTTCCATTCGGGGGACCTCAAATGGCTTTCCAATTCGTTTGGCGTCCCTTGCAAATGCAGACAGCCGTCCTACCCCCAAACCTGACCAATTGTGGCGGGTGAGATGTGAACCCCCTTGTTGGATGTTTGGGTGTTCGACCCAAATTTCTCCAGATCAAGCTTACAGCTTGCAGGTTTTGTTGGTACTTGGCCTTGAAGTAGGGTTCGCATTTGGATGCCACCCCGAACCAAAAGCGCGCGCCGCAAAAAAGGTCGTGGGTCGCGGGTCGCGGCCAAGGCCCGTGGTGAAGGAGGAGGACACCGAGTCCTCCCGCTCCGAGCGCATCCACGGGTCCGATCGCCCGAGGACCCAATCACCCAATCCCCGATCGGATCCTTCGGAGCGGCAAGAACAGCCGAAAGGCCGGGTGCCGGGCCCATGGGACCCGCAAGTCGCCGCAAATTACAGGTGGTCTTCTTGAAGGGTATGTCAACCTGAAGCAAAAGGTATTGAACCTGGTGCAAACTGACTTGAAGATTCTGCAGTGGGAACAACTGGGCAGTGGGTTTTCGATTTTAACTACTACGAACAAAGACACCTTCCCCGAAAACATACATGCCAAGAGAGGATTCGGCGCGGCAAAAATGAAGCCATGCCAACAAGGGCAAAAATGAAGCCATGCCAACAAGGGTTCACCATTTGATGCCCGGCTCAACACGTAGAGGCGATTATGCACAGCGGGACTGTCCTGATGCACAATTCAGTTTTGACTGCGAAATGCAACCCTCACAGCCCGGGTAGATGAAGGTTTTGATTTTCTTACATGAATTTGGTTAGACCAATAAAATACCGATGGGGTTTTGACTATGACTCAGATGAACAGTTCCTCCTTTGGGCTTCCCCTCATTCAGAAGCCTCAAAAAAGGGGTTATCCGATCGCTTGCCAATCATGTAGCATCCCTATTAGCCTATTTGTTACCCTAAAAAGGGTCACCCATTGACATACGCAACCTCTTGAATCATGACAGTTTCCCCGCTGGAGCAAAGAGTTAGACTTGTTGCAAGGGTCGAAGACCATTTTCTGACTCATTGCCACAGAGCCGCTGTGGCTGCAAGGAGTTTCCACCATGTTGCCATGTTCTGGTTGGAATTGCAATGGCCCCTGTCAACACAAACTCGATATTCGCTCAGAGACGTTTAGCGGCGGACCGTTTTTTGTGCTCGTCGTGATGCCGAGTTTATCCTCAAGCAAACATAAATCTTCCCGACACTGGCCAAGTTTCAATTGGCAGTCGTAAAACCAGGGGGTTGCAAAGGATTTGGCCCCCCTTGTCCATGTCTCCATTTGGAACGACTCTGCACTATAGTTTTTATGGCAAGTTTACTGTAGGCCTATCCAATGGTGAGTCTAACTCGGTCCTCCTTCGAAGCCATTCAAAAGCGACAAGCTCGAAGTTTCGATTGAAATCAGCCGACGGGAAGTTCAATTTGGTCGCCTCTTGAAGCCAGAAGCGAGGCTGGTGCTTTCATATGGAAGGATTTGCCCCATGGACCATGGGCTTAAGAGCGAGAGTCTCGGGTTTTCCAGTTTGGGCGCCAAGTAGCGCATGCTTCAACGGTCTCTCCCTGGCCGTTGGTTTCGAGTTGGTTGGGGGTTGGGCCTAGAGCTCTTTTCATGTCATGGGGCTAAAGGAGTTAGCGAGGAAATGCCAAGGACCGCTTTGTATCAACTTTGCCAAGCAATCCCAAGGGCTGAAACTGATTCTTGCTCAGGGGTCTTGGGGCGGGGTTGGGGGGGGGGTTGCGAGGAACCTGGACCCATGTTTTCATAAGAGGGAACATGGGTCTCAGCTGGCTCCCCATTTGGTTGACTCTTAGGAACTAGTGCCTGGCGAGCACTCCTGACGCAGTTGGCGCAGATTCCATCTTTGTTTGCGAGTAGCTTCCAGGACCGGAAGTGAAACCACGAAGAATGGACTGTGGTACCCGTTCATGGGTACATAGGCTTGGTGGCTCCCAGCCATCCGGTTCCTTAGCTTTTGAGATCCTTTTAGTGTTTAGTGGTAGTTTCCATTTAACCCACTAAAAGTTAAACTTTTGGCGGGGGATCTGAGGGCAGCCCAGTAGGGCAAATGGAAGCGCTGGGATACTCTAGGCACAGACGGGCCCGCGCGCGGCCTCTCCGAGGTGGGCAGGGCTGAGTTTTTTTTTTTGAGGGCTCCGGACCGGTCGAGGCAATTTTTCCCCATGTTTCTGGCAGAAAAATACTCTTGCTTGTGGCTCAAGTGATTTTGGGGTGAAACTATGGAGACTTGGGTTGCACAACTGGACACATCCCTTGCGATCGATCTCAGGGTTGTCCGGATTGAATCCGACCGATTTGGGGAAAGTGATGAGGACTTGGTTCCTCTTCAGAAATGCTTAATGGGTCCAAACCACAGAGAGAAACACACACACACACAAATTGGCCACAAGGGTGGTGTGGCTGTCAACATGTTTCACCCTTTGCCAAAGGTCGAGGCTCATACCCTCCTAGCGTTCCTACAATTGGAAGTGGGTGATCGGGAGGGGGAGTTTGTGGAAGACTACCAGGGTTTCAAAGTCAGCTGTCAGCTTTTGTTGAAGAAAGGGCGACATATGCACCTAGAGGCATCTCCGGTTTTTTTCTCCGGGGCTTCCTGTCCTGCTGCAAAACATCTGGTGTGACTCCAGCAGTGCCGTTGTCAAGGTTTGGGGCCCGCCTCGATTTGCGGATTTGCAGACCAAGCACATGAGAGGAGCATGGATGGCACACAGTGCGCCAAGTAGGTCGGGAAGTATGTGACCTGTAGAAATGAGCCGCCCAGTCTGAGCAAGGCCAGTTTGCTCAGACATCGCGGTCTTTCTAAGGCCCTGGGGTTGGTTTAGGAGAACCTCTATTGTGGTTTTGGTTGAGTATTCCCCCACTTTCAGGAGCCCCTCCCTCTGTGAAAGTGTCTTTTGGCGTCCGGAGGCTAGAAAAGCCGATATCTTGAAGGCCCGGAATCCAGAAATATCAGACCCCTGCTGAGTAGGAGGGTTTTCAGGAGAACTCCCCCAACACCCCTTGGCATTGCGTCTCCTTTCAGGACACCAGCCCTCTTGGTGATGAAGTTCTGAATCTAAGCGTCCCTTGTGAGCTTCATGTGGCAAGCAGCATTTATTGTGTGGCTCCCGCATTTGAAGGCTTAAACCCATGTGGGTGTGGCTCAAAATTAAACCACCAGGGCACCGCAGGTTTGAGTCCTTTCCATTTACCAGGGCAAGCCATTTGGGGTACTTTTTCTTTTTGACAACCACAGCCATGCAGACGGAAGCCATCCTCCAGTTTTCGACTCGATCCCCACCCCTCCGGCAGGTTGAGAGCTGCGATGACCTGGACTTGCAGGCCGCCTGTTTTGATATTGGGTCAGAAGCAATGGGATCCCGTTTTGGTTGGTAGGTGAATTCACCACCCATTATAGAACCTATTTTAGTGGGGATCGGGATGTTCACTGGGGGTACGGGATTTTGACCCATGGCCATATCTGCCTTTGGATGATTCGGAACAAAGGCTGGAAGAATGGATAGGTGTCTGCAGTTTCCTTTTCAGTTTCCCGAGCTAAACCAACTTGCTTTGTTGCGCCAGAGGTCGGATCGTACCCATAGCGACTGACAGAGTAGGTCTACTTTGGCCGAGCAAAACGGCCAAAGCGCATGCCTTCCAATTTTTTCTTCCCATGCGCTTTGAAGGGAATAATTAGTTTTGTCCATGGCGCATGTAAGGAACCAGGTTGTTTCCTACAGCAGTCCGCAGAAATGTTGTGACATGACCTTTTTGCTTAGGTGGCAAAATGGTAAACAAATGATGAGGCACCGAATAGGAAGGGGGGCCGAATCGTAACATGCGGGGTTGAGCCGGGATTTCATTGGGCTCCCTGCTCTGGTCGTCAGGGAGCTAAAAAAGGGTCTGTCATTTTTTTGGGGTACTCTTTTCGGGGTTGGTTGAAAGGGAAGCCAACAAGCAAACCAGTTTGGGCGGGGGGTCCAACCTTAAAACACGGCCATTTTGGGGGTCAGGGAGCCTGGCTGCTTGTCGAGCGAAGCTGCCTGCGAAGCTGTTGCCTGTTTCACCAATGGGAGCAACGGAAATGGAAAGACACCAGTGGAAGCTCCACGAAGGGAGCCTTGAAGAACTCCCTGGGGGCCAAGTCCTCCAAAAAGGACAATAGGACCTTGTGGACGCCAATGAGAAACCACTTGGAAACTACAGACACGGAAAACAAAGAACCACAGGGAAGAGCAAATGGTGTTGGGATTTGGATTTGGTTTCATCCCGGACCTTTGTGGACGTGTTTGCAGGGAAACCGAAAGGACACGGACTTCATCAAATGGTTAAACCCTGGATGACTCACCCGGTGAGTGGGTTCTCACAAAGAGGGTTTTCATTTGGAGCCCGTAAGTCATCCAAGTCAATCATATCTCCATTTCTGGGTCCCTTCCAGCGTAATTCATGGAGAAAGTTATGGTATCTCCCGTGACGTGTGTGTGTGTGTGTGTGTGTGTGTGTGAGTGTGTGTGTGTGTGGGTGTGGGGGGCGTTACTCCTTAATTCCGCCTCGGGTTTTACAAAGGGGTTCCCGCATTCGGATTGAGGCAGCCATAGGTTGGGTGCAACGCATGCTTCACCGAGTTTTCAACCAATCTCCTATCCTGATAAATTGACCCACCGGTTTGTTGGGGCAACCATAAGGTAAACTGAAGGTCCACAAACCGATTCTGGGGGTTGTAAAAGGGTCGCAGGGAATGAGTAGCCCAAGGTACAGGCTCGTGTGCCACGGCCGCCGAGGTTTTTTTGAAGGCCATCTCCTGAGGGTTTCCCTGCTGACACCAGTTCCACAAAGAGTTCACCTTTGCTGGCCATAGAAGTAATGCTATGGCGGTTGATTTGTTCATATCCAGCTGGTAGCTCAGGCAATTCTGCTGGACCAAGCACCTACCAAAAGCAACGGTGCGTGTTTTTCCCGTCGCTTGCTTCTTAAATCTTTGTTTGACAAGTTCCCCACTGTGCCGACCAAGCCCCGCTTTCACTGGGCTACAGTCTTGTCCATAATCACCTGGACCCCCACCAAAACAAATACCAGCATGAGCAAGCAAGAAGCAACGGAGATACAAAGAAGACCCCCAGGCCAGAAGAAAAATCGAAACCCATGCTAAACAACAAGCGCACAAGACAAACTACAATGGAAAGTATACATTCAGCAGCAAACACAAGGCCAGCCTTTAAAACACCACGACTCCCGGTCGTTGCTTTTGTCCACCCAACAGAAACACACCTTTAAAGCACCAACAGAAAGAAACCCAAGTGGTAAGGCTGGCCCAAACCACCCGTTATCGCCTATTTGGGCCTATCGACCCCACAGCTTTCGCAACGGAAAAGCGGGGCCGAGCCGTGGAAACCTCGTCGAATCGAAAAGAACCTCAAGGTGGAGGAGATCGCCGAGCGACTGCTGCGGAACCTCTACTCCGAGAAGCTGGGCATCCAGGAGCCGATGAGTTTTGGGAGGCGAAGAAAAGGTCTTTGCTCATCTACCCGCTAGATGTTTTCGTATTTTCTTTTTGTCCGGTGCAACTCAAATGTCGAAGAATCTTTGTTTTTTTCTTTTGGTGCTGCCTGAAATGTCGAGGACTATGCAGAAGTATATGTCCCTTTGGTCATTTTGCAGAAATCCGTTTAGATTCGAGTTTCCTAGGGATTGCATCTGCCGATTTGGATTTCGAGCGCAGGAGTTGATTTCCCTGATGCGCCACTTCCAGTGGTCCAAGGACAAGAACCAGCGTGGCTCTTAGCGCTGAGTGGAATCGGCAGGCTGACTCATGCCTCAAAAAAAAAAACATCATTCCGCCAGACCCTTCATCTCCCAACACAAAAATGGAATTTGCGAATAGCCAAGACTCAACCAACTGTAAACCAACAAGCTTCCCGTAAGGACGCACTTCAGCCGTATTAGGGAACACACTGGAACCAGTGCTAAACCACTACCGCACCAATCCTAAACTGATACTAAGCCAATGTTAGGCCGATTCCGACCCAAAACAACTTCGCAAACATGACATCGGTTTCTCTGTTTAAGTTTACAACTCGGACGTTGCCATATTGAACGCCCGGAAACAGGGGACCCCAGACGAGGAACCCCCCTGCTACCTTAACGTACCCACCAATGAATATTGTTCCGCCCTATATAACATATACATGTTTTTCCCCAGATAGCTGAAAGCTATAGGGGTTCTAACTTCTAGTAAAGAAGGGGAAGTGATTTGCGAGATTGAGGGCCGGGTGCTGCGGGGCATGCAGTTTGGGGTGCTGGTGGAGGTGCCGCTTTGCGAGATTGACAGCCGGGTGCTAGAGGGCATGCAGTTTCGGGTGCTGGTGGAGGCGCCGCTTTGCGAGATTGACGGCCGGGTACTAGGGGGCATGCAGTTTCGGGCGCCGCTTTGCGAAACTGACGGCCGGGTGCTGGGGGGCATGCCGTTTGCGCTGATTAAGGTGCTGTGCTGTTGGACAGCGGGGGGGTTTGGTGCTGGTGATGGTGCAGGCGCATTCTTGCAAGATTGATGGCCGCCTACGGTTTGGGAGCTGATGCAGCTGTTTTTGGGAACTGTTTAATTTGGGGTGTTGTTTGAGGTGCTGCTGACGTTGCGGGCGCAATTTTTGGAGATTGCCGGCGGTGCTTGGGGGCATGCAGTTTGGGGTGGTGCTGCAGGTGCTGTTTTGTGTTGCTGTTGCTGCTGACCGCGTGGGCTTATTTCCCAGACAACTGGAAACCATAGGGTTTCAAACTTCTAATGAAGAAGGGAAATTGTTTTGCAAGTCGACGGCTGGGAGTTAGGGGGCATGCACTTTGGGGTACTGGCGCAGGTGCGGTTTTGGGTGCTGTTGAGTTCAGGTGCTGGTGAGTACGTGTCCGGTGCTGGCGCGGGTGCTGCGTTGGGGTGCTATTGGGGCTGCTGTTGTCGGGTGTTGGCGATGGTGCGGGCGCATATGGATGGCAGGGTGCTAGGGCGGGTGCTGTTTGGGGTGTCGTGGTTGTCGCATCATCATGATGCTGGCCGCAGCATCATGATGCTGTCCGGACAGCATAATGATGCTGTTGAACCGATTCGGACGTTGTTGCTGCCCTAGCTGTCGCGTGTAATGGTTCGGGGCTGGTGTATCATCATGATGTTGTCAACCACGTCACGATGCTTCTGCAATTGCTGCGATGCCGCGTTATCGTTCGTGGGTGTGGTGGTTGGCATAAATGCTGTCAACATTAAGATGATGCTGAATTTCATTACACTGTCGCAAAATGATTCCTGGCCGTGGTATCATCAGGATGCTGCCTTTGCCACCACCATGATGCAGTGAGCATCATCATGATGCTGTCGAACTTATCAGACGTCGTCTCTGCCTTTTTTCTGCTAGGTATGTAGCGCGGAATCGTTCGTGACTGGTGTCTCAGCATCATCCTGTCAACATCATCGTTTTGCTGATGAACTCACTAGGACGTTGTCTGCGCGTCTATGTAGCGCACTATGCTGAGCAGCAGTGGTAGTTTTTCATGATGCTGTCAACATTGAGTCAACATCATCAAGATGCTGTCAACATCATCATCATCATGCCGCGGGAATTGTTATGATGCTGCGTCATGGTTCGTAGCCGTGGTGTGCTATCTGGGGTCTATGCTGGTGTATTTATTTTTATTTTTTAGGGGGGGTGGGGGGGAGGATTCATTATTAGGAGGTTCGGTTCTGGACAGCCAGAACAAGTTGGTGTATGAAGCAACCGGACCCGCAAGTCCGATTGCCCCAAGACTCAGGGGAGCAAGGCTGTTGAAAGAAGAGACCCTTTTTTTCGGTTGTGGAGGGGCACCGCAAATCTTGAACTTTCGATTCCATGGAAGCTCCCAAGGCCCCTTTTCACGTGCCTGGGAAGTTTTCAGGTCAGCAAGGGTAGGGTTTTGGCCAAAACCTTCCAGATTGAGCCTCGCAAGTACCTTGAAGCCGATTCAATTGAACAGAGCCACTGAATGCAAGCCCTTTTTGGCGGACCCTATGAGGGAGTTAGATTGAGTTCGTGTTTGTTTTGGCTTCAAAACGTCGGAACCCAGTCAAAGGGCACCCTGTTTCAGGCCCCTCGTGAAGTGCTGTTTGATTCCGTACGGGGTTTCGACATATGGGCGATCAAGAGGTCCTGGCAAGGACTTTCCACCTTCCTGGCTCACATTGAGAAACACAACGGAGTTGTCTCACCCATCATTTTTCTTCGGAGCCAGGTTGTGCTTTGCCCAATTTCCAAAGGTATGGCTCCAACCACTGTGCAAAAGAAACACACTTCCAGGATTTTTTGGGGGATGTCCCTGTTCCGCCAAGGAACCTTGGGCCTTGGTCAGCTGAGCCACAATCAGAACCCGGGTAGATGAAGGTTAGTGAGGGACGATCCCAACCATAAATTCCTGTGCAGGGTTCTGGGATTACGTCCATTTTAGTACCAGGTTTTGATTGCGACTCAGCCGTGTTTCCGCCCGTTTTTTCTGGTGCAAAACCCGCGAGGTGCCGCATCCACCAGCTGCTGATCTCCATCCTGCTGGACGACTTCCAGTCCTTCCCCGCGTGGCCGGAGAAGGAGCCCGGGGCCCAGACGGGAAGACCTGGTGGAGACGCGGGGGGCGAAGACCACTGGCGGCGGTGCGGCGGATTTTTGGCGCCCTGGGCGGATCTGGGGATGAGTCAAACCAGTTGAAACAAATGGAGGTGAATATAGAAGCACCCATTAGAAGCCCCACAGGTTTTCATCATCCGAATTGGGCCGGCCATTCTTTTAGTGGGGGTTGAAATGCAGGGCTGAACCCGGTTGTGAGTTTGGTCAAGGACCCACCTTTGGGTCACTGGGCAAGGGGCTTCTCTCGAATTGGCGATCTACTCGAACAAATTGGTGGATCGGGACGACCGGCGAATGAACGAGAGAAGCTGATACGGCAAAACATGTGTCTGCAACTTGTGTGGCTCGATCCCGCGCTTCATGGTTTCGCCATTCGGGCAAGGCTTCTATCTGTGGTATTATGGATACTTTCAATCACATGCTAATAAATAGATGGGTTCCACCGGTTTAGATGGGTTTCATGCCATCCAATTGCCAGGGAACCCCATCCAATTGTTTTGCCGCAAAGGCATACACGGGCGCCGGAAATCTGCAGCTGAGGCTGATGCTGACTGGCGAATTCCTGGGCCAGCTCATCCGCTCGCGGCCCAGATCTCGTGGGCTTAACTTGGTTCCCGGCCATTTGATTCGTTGGGGGTTTAGCTGTTTCTAGTTGGTTTAGTGAAGGTGTGTCCATTTAGCCCACTGAAAGTTAAACCTTGAGCAGGGGATCTGAGGACAGCCCAGGTTTCAATATGTTGTATTTTCGCCTGTTGGTTTTGATGGGTAGCCATCCCTGCTGGACTTCTTTGTTTTTGGTTTTAAATGTTTTCCAGGATAAAGCAAATGGAAATGCACGTTCTGGAATTGGAAACAGAGGACTTGCATTTGGGGCATGTCCACATGTGGGAAGGTACCTCTCTTTGATCGGGACACCCAAACGAGCCCCAGCTTCAGAGTTGCCAGCAACCTTCAGGATCCCTACCTACTTTAAGCAACTTCCACGAACCCGAGTGGCACGAGAAACAACCACTCCTTTTTTCCGTGGGCGGCGGTGGACAACCAGGATACATCTACCAAAGGGTCCATTTCTACGTGAAAACTCGTGCCTGAGGCAAGATGTACTGGTTGTAGTTTCGTTTGGCGGATGCGTTTGCCGGTATATTCCACACATGGAGTGTATAGTCCCAGGGTTCTGTTTTTTGAAGCCCGTGTTGGGGAATGAAAGGGACCCTTTCCCGAGGGCTTTCAACAACTTTAAGGTGGCCCAGCTTGATGTTCAGCCAACTCACATCCGATGTTGGATGGTCCACCTTGACGTTCGAACAAATGTTCGCTACTTCTAGATGAAACAACTTTTGACTGCTTTTAGGCTAGTCCTTTTCGAGTTTCAACTCACGTTTCTTGGTAAACTGTAGACAGGTTCTTGCCTGTTTGTCCGCAAATTACGCTCCGGGCGCCAAAAAACCAGTGAGTCTTAATCTCCTCCCCAAAAAAAGCCAAAAGGCGCATGTTTGCCAAGAAACGGACACAACACCACGCAGACCCCACTTCTTCAGCCACAGCATTCGACAGATTCGGACTGCCATCGCTGATTGGAAGGCTGGGACCTCATCCCGGATGGCGGGCCTTTGCAGTTTGCCCTGCGGGGAGCCTGGGTTTCAGAGGGGGCCTGGTGGTGGTGGGTTTTGCAGCAGATAGCGGCATGAAGGGTTGCTGAACAACCGCCTCGCCCGGAGCAGTTTGAAGCCAGAGAAGAGGTTCAACATGTTCGGCTGAACCAATCTTGCCGCCTGATTGACTGTAGAAAGAAATGTGGGTGGCTCGTCCGTTTTGGGTGGCAATTACCTCTTGTTGGTTGAACATTTTTTAACGGACACCGTTTCGGGGGGTCCCCTCAAGGCTACAAGAGCCAGCAACAGTTCCTCAAACCCAGTTTCTTGGAGTCCAGCCTCCAGATTTCTGTGCTGGGGCAACCTACCAAACATGGGCTTCCAACCTCAAACAGAGGACTTGTTCTTGTAGAGGAACCTCCTTTTGAGAGACCCCTTTCTGGGGTTCCATTCTCAATTTGCAAGGGGGGTACTCCTCATTCCTTGGGATCGAGCCACTTGCGAAACAGAACAAGTTTGCGGAATTGGGGCTGTTTCAGTGAAGATGAGGGGTGATTCGTAAGAAAGCTTCGACTTGATGTGAACACCACCTTTGAATGACTGTTTGCCCAGTCTTTTGGGATAGATGTCAGATTTTTGTCTTTTTTTGTCCATGACAAAATGAGAACTTCTCAGATATGGCAGGTGAGTCGGGCTTAGACCTGCGGAGAACCGAACAGAATGCTGGGGTTCCTTGTATGATTTTGGGGGTGTTTCATCTTTTGAAGGTAAATCGGCCCCAACAAACCAAACGACAAATTGAGGTTTCCTGAGAGAGAGTGGGGGTTTGGAAGAATGCCAGAACCTTCCGTTTCGTTTGACGAGAAAGGAGCAAACAGTCGGTGCGTCCCAGCTGGTTTTCTGGAGGAAGACCCCCTCGAGAAATGGGCGTGTGCCAAGATTGGCCCTTGCGAGTGGTGGGGTTATATGCTGTTGTTTTTGTTGCGTTCACAGCTATCCACCTTGGGAAATATCCCCAGAACCGTTGAGACCACAGGGTGCCAAAAAGAACCCTGGCTATGAACTTGTTGCTTGCCAAAAACACGGTTTTCCAACAAGACCTGTTTTACTTTAAACAAGCCGTACACAACCCATACACAGCCCATACACAACCCATACACAACCCATACACAACCCATACACAACCCATACACAACCCATACACAACCCATACACAACCCATTTGAGCTGGCTCACTACGGTTTAGAATTGGTTTAGTGTTAGTTCAGTATTCTTTTAAGTTGACTCATTTAGTATTGGTTCAGTATTTTTTTCAGTTGACTCACTACAGTTTAGAATTGGTTTAGTATTGGTTCAGTATTCCTTTGATATCCCATCTCCTGTGTTTTTTAACAATTCCCTACCCTTAAACAAGCTGCATTATTGCCTTCATGGGGGTTCCGTGTGCCACCCCCTTGAACATTTGTCAGGGTGCATCTTCTACTAAAGAAATTGAAGGAATTTGGTGGTTTGGGACAGGAAGCAATCCAGAGATTCTGGACATTTCTGGCTGTACCTGAGAACAGCGGGGCTTTCTTCTTGGCAGGCTGCCCTGGCCAATTTTTTGTTCACCATTCCCTACCCTTAAACAAACTGCATTATTGCCTTCCTGGGTAAGTAGCGGGGTGTGGTGCGGTGTGGTGCGGTGACTTTGGAGCGTGGGGAGCTGCTGGGACTGGGAGGAGCGTGGCGTTGGACTCAAACGTTTCAACCCTCAAAAATAGTCCATTCTTGGAAGGGAACATATTTTCGGGATCTCGGGCCGATTTTTTTAAATCTGTAATACCTACCCTTTTTGCTTTTCAGGAGAGTGAATCATTTTGAGACTTTTGTTCTGTATTCACTCCCCTTACACTAATCGCTATCTAACATTAGTATTTAGTGGTAGTTTCCATTTAACCCACTAAAAGTTAAACTTGCGGGGGATCTGAGGGCAGCTGAGTTTTCTTTGGAATCTGAGGTGCGGCATTCTGTCCGCTATCAAAGAGCCGGCCGGAGGTCTGTTGTTCAGGCGCTCAAGGGGCTCAAGGGCGGGGTCATGGTTGGGGTCCCCCCTTGAGGGAGGGGTGCGATCCTTGGATTCCATTTAGGATGGTTTGTCTTGTTTCCCTTTAAACAAAACAAGAGACGGGACACGGTGGGTTGCGAAGACAAATACGGAAGCAGTGGACCCCAGTCCCCGCAAGGGGCTTGTAGCATTCCAATCTCTTCCTCTGGTTCTCCTGACCAAACCGGGGTGATTGTGAGATGGGTGGCTCTTTTTTTGTTTGAGGTACCCCTTGTTTTGGTGGGTTGACAGGAAAACCAAAAGGAACTACCAGCCATTTGGAGGGTCCAAATGCTTAGAAAAAGACGAGCACCCACAATGATACATTGCCATGGTCAATCTTCAGTGTTTGTCCCAATTCAGGGGATGACATTATGTATTACCAAGTCATTGGGGGTTGCTCACCATCCAATATTCTTGGGACCCAGCTCCGTATTGACTGCTCAAACGGGACCCCTTCAACCTAAACAGGGGAGCCCGGAACGGTTTCAGCGGAACGCCTCATGTCACGTTGAAGACCTTAAGTTGGGCCTGAAAAACAGGGGCGGCTCGGGAATGATCAAAAGGTACCAGCAGACAGTTTTAGGGGACTTAAAAAAACTATGGTAAGGCCGTCCACAAAGGGAGGCACTGCCACACTTGAGGAGTTCTGACGTGGCAATCAATGCAAGTCAGATGAAGGACACGTGCCGAACAGTTCAGTCCAATCAGGGGATCCCTGGTCACGTCTGGTCACGAAGCTGAATGACAATAGACATGAGGAGGTTGAGTGTTGGGAGGGTTCTTGGGTTCCCTAGTAAAGTAGTAGGTCCTATATTTGGTTTTCTGTACCCTGCACCCTCACACACACACACACCACAGTCGAACATCAGGTGTGTTTATAGATTCAGTATGTATTGTCTTTACCTTGAAACCGGCACTAGAGGCTTTCTTTTTGAACCCCAGGGTTTCAATCAACTCTCCCACCATTTTGTGGGGCTTGGGAGAAGATCATGGTTCAACTGGAAACAACATGAGACATGAGACGAATCCGCATCTAGCCAACCGGTGGGGTGCAACGTGGTTTGGGTACCCGGTTTGAGTCAACGACGGATGTTCAATCTTGGCATGTTAAGCCGTTGAGCCTAGTCTAAGACCCAAAAAAAAGACCACGGCCTTTGAAGGCCCCCCGGCCCCCCCCCTCGACGAAAACGTCGCACAGCAAAGCGCCGAATTCTGCGCAGATTCGGCCACATGGCTCTGAAGCAATTCCTGTGTCGGGCCCAGCGCAAAACCGGGACGCGGGGGGCTAAACCCGAGGCATGGCCAGTGGTTTCACTCCTGCACCGTCGTTGGCATGTTTTTGTTTTTTGCTTGCTTTTTGGTTTTGTTGGTTTGGTTCATGTTTTGGTAGGGGCTGCAACAAAAACACCGTTTGGTGCTACCAAGGGTTGGAAAGACTCCCGGATGAAGCTGGCGATCTCGTGAAATGAGAGACAGGCAACTGACTGAAGGGCTAGGGCCCCAGATTTCCTACACCAAAAGCCCACTTTGAGTTTGCCATAAGGTCCGTGCCCCTGTGGCCAGAGCATGTGGAGCGCACTTTGAGCCTTTGGTAACACCTTGTGATATCGCAAACAACTATCCGACTTTCTTACGAGGCCATGGGTGCCTTATCAAGGGGTGGTTGCAGAACTCAGAGCCCATGTGCAAAACAAGCTTTCCACTGGAACAATCTCCGCACAAAGGCATGTTAACCTTCCAAGACAGGTGCAAGCACAGGAGCAGAAAGACGGCGAACGGGGGGAATGACGATGTCAAGTGCTGTTTTCTCCCCCGGTCTTCGTTTCGGTGGCGGTGTTTTGTGTGACTTTCTTCAGGGGGAATACAGTCATATATAGAACTGACTTGAAACACTTGAGATATTGAGGCTTTTTTC